ACCTGCATGTGGTCGGACCCCCCTGGAGATGGATAGAGGAGCGGTGTCTCGGTTCCTAAGACCATCGGAAATAGATGTTTTCTGATGGTCTTAGGTGACCCCTGTGAACGGGTTGTGCGACCCCCAAGGGGGGGCTCAACCCACAGGTTGAGAACCGCTGCTCTCATGGGACCTAAGTCTTGCAGTCTCAGATCAGGGGCTAGCGCACAGGCGGTCCATCAGTTCATAGGACCAATCGGTTCCACCTGTCCCTGGGTTTTCCTCCTCCTCCTCGCCTCTGGGCAGGCGAGAGGCTGCACCGGGACTGCACCTTAGAAGGCCACTCGTGATGTTAAGACCCCAGTTGCTACATACCAAAGTAGGGTGCAGACTTTGGGGACCTTGATGTCCCCTGAGACTAAGACCCTGAGTCAACACGCTCAGCAACTCATTCCCCTGAGGTGCCTCGCTGTGTCCGAGATGTCTGCATAACGGTGCTCCCTGTCTGCCCCACCACGGCCATCCGCAGCAGAGATACACACTAATGTCTGTGGGCTCCAGCTCACATCTGGATGGGTCCGAAGGGACGGTTGTGCAATAATTGAAGGGAAGAAATTAAGAGATAGATGAAAAGTTTTGGGGTGCTCTCCTCCATGATTTCAGGAGCCAGATTTGCACAGAGAGAGAAATAATGTATTCCCAACATCAGTTTATATACTCGGGGCTGGGGGGGGGCATGCAAGCCCCCCTAATTACAGGTCACCACATACATAACAAAGGGGGCTGTACCCTCACCCCACAGGTCCCTGAGTTCATTGGAGGAGCCACCTAACACCAGTGTCGGGGCAGGTAAGGGGGAGTGACTGTCTTCAGTCTAGAGAGCAGTAGCACACGTCTGCTCCTGCAGTGAAAGCTGCCGCTACCCAGCAATCAGCCGTGGGCTTGTACAAGGTAACTTCAAGGCAGCACCATCATGGGAGGATATAGCGGGGAACAGTATTAATTATGAGGATGTAACTGGGACTCATCTCTAACCCACAAGTGAAGGTCTCCCTCCACCCAGATCCTGGCCTGCAGGGCTTCTTAAAATATGAGAAGAAAGAATTCATGCGCATACACTCTCTCCCCAGGCCCGTTTGCCACAAATGAGAGAGCAGGAGCACCGTTTGTGCAGCATGTGAGCACTCCCACTCTCCTCCCACACACGGATCACCACTGTTGCAGGCTGAGTGCCCAGCACTGCTGACCCCTCTGCCCTCGGCCGCTCGCAGTCTCTCGACGCGTCCTCACTCGCTTCCGTCCTCTCCTCAGACTTCCTTTATTGCATATGCACATGGCCCCGCCTTTCGCCCAAGATCTCGACATCGACTTGGCTTTCCCTCCCTTGGGAAGTTCTCCAATGACACTCTTTCCTCTTTTTACTTGGTACCTGTCTTTTGTAATTGCAACTGGCTGTTTTTCAACCTTGGATGTTTGTTTTACTCTGGATACTTCTAGATCTGGGCGGACTCTTCAGTGGGGGTCACGCATCTTTCACTCTCACGTGGTCGCGCCGTGGTCAGTCCTGTGTCTGAAGAACCCTTGTTAGAGTTTCTTATCAAGTTCCGTTTCCACAAAGTGCTTTCACTGCGGTTCGTCTGGAAATCTCCTCGTGTCGGCATCGGATTTGAGGGCAGTTTTGCCCTCGGCGGTCGGCGGTCCTTCTCTCTCTCAGAGTGTTGCCTGTGGCCCCTCGCTGCCTCCCAGCCTGCACTGCATGGCGGCTGCTGAGAAGTCCCACTTAGTCTCCGTGCTTCTGTTGGGAGGCAACTAACTCTCCATTTCCCCCAAGCTGCTCTCAGGCATCTTTTCTTATCCTTGCTCTGGCAGGTTCGACTAGGACACACGTTGGAGATTTTCTTTTGGGTTCAATCCATTGGGGTTCATTCAACTCCTTGAATGCACATCCTCTCACCCTGCATGATGTTAGGGACGTTTTCTTTCATCAACTCTTTGACAGTGTTCCTCGTTTCATCCTGCTCTGGAACTCCGTGACGTGCATTTTCCCTTGATGATGCCCCACGTAACTTCTAGGAATCCGTTACATTTCGGGGTACTTTTCTTTGTGCCCCTCCCTCTGTCAGGCGAACACTGGGACTCTGTCTTCAAGCTCACTGCAGTTCAGCCTCGGCCGGCTCAGCTCGACTTCTTTGCCTCTGCAAGGGGTTATCTGGTCTGGCATCTTCCTGTTACTCTGCCGGCTTTCTCTTTGCTTCTTCTATGTGGTTCGTACTTTATGTACTTGGTCAGCGTGGACAAATGTGCTTGACTGAGCAAGCAGCTCCTCCTCAGTCACATTGTAAGTGCCTTCTGA